ATTGCTCTTCAAAGGGATGAGGTAGGCAGCTGCGATGATCGCAGCGCAGTCCCCCCGCGCCCGCTCCATTGCCTAAGAACGCGTTGGGTCTTGTTGCTTGTGCGTTGGTTGTTTTCGGTTTGGTCTTGTTTGGCTTGTTAGTCCTTGGCTAGGCGGGTCCAAAGGACAGAGCTGGCAACGGCGCGTTTCAATGGGCTTTTAGCTTATGGTCAAGGCGCGTCCGAAGGGCGGAGCTGACCACCACAGTAACACGGGACCTTCAAGCAAAACACGAGAGCATTGCGTGCAACCTACCAGATGCTCAACCCAAAATCGCTACCCCACAATACAAAACCCCGGCACGCAGCCGCAGGGTTGACCAACCTGAAACCCCCTAAACCCTGTGTTTTTATTGATCCTGCCCCCACGGTCACCGCAGGCTGAAAAGGCCACGCGAGGCCGGAATTCGCGAAACCGCAGAAACCACAGCGGGAGGCCCCGTCTCACCGCGCGCACCCTTGCGGTCGGCAACCTAAAGTCGAAGTGCAGCGGAATTCGCGCAAAACCACAGCGGCAGCATCGAAACGCAACGGAATTCGTGCGAAAACACAGCGGGAGAAACCAAGGCTCCGCCTCACCACGCTGTTGCGGTCGGCTTGGTTAGTCACTCTCTCACTCTCCTAACACTCAAAATACAACCTACTTAACCTAACGAAACACTCCAGCCAACACCTCTGGAAACACTCTAACAATCACTCTAAACTCTTTGTTAACTAACGCTGAAACTAACACTCAACTCACCTCTGACTTCACTCGAACGAACACTGAAACCAACACTCTCACTCACTCTGACAAACACTGAAAAACTAACACTCTAACTCACACTCCAACCAACTCTAACCAACACTGTAACACACACTCGAACACGTTAACACTAACAACACACTCTATAAGACACACTTCCAGCGAGCTTGGAGAACCACCTGAACCACCAAAGTGAATCTCGTTCGGACAGTGGACACCTCCAAACACACTTGACACACTTGAACATTTTGAGAGTTGCTTGTCCACCACTTCAGACACCAGAATCACAGAAAACACACTCTAATTCACAATTGAACCAACACTACTTAACTCTCGAACTCTGACACTTTGACACACTCTAAGCTGGCAAAATCTCACCTGAATCTACAGACAGAGTCCTACGCTTGAACAACACTTTTTTTTCCCTAAGACCTAAGCAACTGAGCATGTGGCAGGCTGCTTGTCAAGTTGTCAGTTTGCGCTCGAGTGCCTGTTCTTTATAGGTGTTAACAATCACGTCTTTGTTGTTTTCCTGTGCCCTGGCGTTTCACATGGCGAAAAAAGCATGCAGAAGATGCTGAGGCTGTTTGGTCTGAATTTTCTGAACCGGTCTCCAAGAGCCTGAGTGGGGTGGGCTGGAATCGACACTTCCCTGAAGGGTTTTTCGAACTCCCAACCTTCTAACTGGAGCCCCTTAACTTAGCGCTATGACCTGTTCATGCGGACTTTTACTGCGGACACTGCAGGGCCTCTCCCTTGCTGGCTGAAACGGACCAGTTCGTCTGATAAAGTGTGAGCTGGGAGCGACGTCACTGTTTTGGTGATCTGTTGCTAAATCCAACCAGCAGGGGAGTGGCACAGTGGTTAGCGTGTTGGGCTCATAACCCAAATGTCCCTGGATCGAAACCAGGCTCCGCTATTTTGAGGAACGACCCAGGGTGAATTCGAGCCACCAAGCTTTGTGTCTGCAAAGTCAAGGACTTCGAGAGGCAACGCCCTACCCATTAGGCCACTGGGTCTTGGCAGTCCTGGCAAATTCTAGCAGTCATATCAAGCTTCGCGAAATAAAACACTGGTGTTAATTGTTGTGCAACGGCAGCGTCTGACTCCAGATTAGAAGGTTCGGAGTTCGAATCTCGCGGCTCATTCTTGTTCTTTGGTTTTTCGGTGTGAGACACTTCCATGCAAGTCGACTTTGTGAGCAATTGCAGTTGGGTTTTCACTTGCAAACAGGGTCATGGGGGCGCACAGCCCCTTAAGTTGAAGCCAGGGAGTTGCCTTCGAATTTTGTTTTCGACATGCAGTGGACTCTTGTTTCACGTCTTTCGTTCGACTTTCGCGTTTTTCTGGTTTCTAGAAACCACTCTGTCCTCACGAGATTCACTCTCACTCTCTCACTCTACTCCGAACGAGATTCAAAAACACCATCCGAAAAAATACTCCGAACGAGATCGCAGAGCCTCGGTTGTGGGCGAAGTCTGGATGGTTGAGGTAAAGTAAACAAGCCTCATTGCAAGATCCGCTATTGTCAGCCCTCACCCGAGCGACCCGGGTTCGAGACCCGCCGTTGGGAGGGAACAACTCAGAAACCCAGGTTCCAAACCCAGATTTTAAACCCAGGTTCAAGTTCGGCAAACTTCTGCAAACCACCTTCTTGGTGTTGGGTTGTAAAACCGTACACGCCCTGTGGTTAGAAGACACCCCCAGAAACAGTTTCTCTGGCAGCAAGAATGAACCTCAACTCTATCAGGCTGTTAGAGAAAAACGGAATTCCTCACTGGAAGAATGCGACCTTCTTGGTTGCATAGCTACTACTTCGACAACTACTTCTACTTCTACTACTACTACTACTACTACTACTACTACTACTACTACTACTACTACTACTACTACTACTACTACTACTACTACTACTACTACTAGCAGGCATCACGCTTCTTTTAATTGATCGCAGGGGTTTCGGGGCGTGCATTTTTTTCCTGTGAAGACACGAAAACATCGGTATTGACAGTGTTTCGTGGCTTTGAACGGTTTTGGACGGGAGAAATGCAGTTGTAAAAAACGCCGAAAACTACTTGCAACTACTTATGGCGCGAGAGGAATACATCAGTAGTTACAGTGTTTTGTGACCTTGAAAATGCGCGCTTTTGTGCACCGGTTTTTTCGGGTGCAATCTTGGGCAATAGGAAAACATCGGTCTTTACAGTGTTTCGCGCGTTTCGCATGTGTTGCATTTTTTTTGGCGATGTTTAGGGCTTCGGTTGAGGGTTTTTGGTAAGGTTTTTTTTGGCATAGGACACGGGACTTTTGGGTTTGTTTTTTACCTTTTTGTTTTAGAGCTTCAGGGAACATGAGTTTTGAGGCTTTTAAGGGTACACGACTTTGGGCCTTGCATTTCAGACTTTGGGATTTAGCGTTTAAACCCTACACCCTAAAACCCTCCACCGATTGAGAGGTTTCGGCTTGAGTTTAGGGGTTTCTGGGGCTTACCTCGGAAGCCTCACGAGCTTGAGCTGTTTTGAGCCTCGAGCTTTGCGGGGGCAGTTTTGGTATAGGGTTGCTCCGCCAGTCTCTCGAACCACCAAAACAAGCCTGATTAGGGCTTACCTAGAGGTTTCAACCCTACCCCTTTTATTGAGTACCCACTTTCCTTATTCTGGAACCCTAACTTCAAACGAAGGAACGTAAACAAAGGGGGTATAAGCCTCTAAGTAGGCGTTTTAGAAAGCTCGAGGTTGCCGAACTGGCAAGTCTTTGCTTGAGAAGTTCGATGCCGTCCGGCAACTAGCAACCCCGTTTCTGCTTGAGAGGCGCGTCCAACTAGCAGCCCTCCAACTAGCAAACACCATAAACAACCCCCACTTCTGCCTGAGAAGCGTGTCCAACTAGCAACCCGCATTCCTGCCCGCTCGTAGATGCACCGGGTCAGTGATGCGAAGCAAAGGCATCGTTTTCCGAAGGTAGTGCTGGGGTTGTTCGCATTGAAGCATAGGTCGCATTGAAGCATAGCCCAAAGCTGATAGCAGGTGGACAGCACCATGCACAGCTCGAGTCGAGTACAGCAGACAGCCAACGGTGTCAAGGTCATGCGCACGCACTAATGGACCCAAGGGCGTCTAGAGCTCAATCAGGGGCATCATAAGGTCAGGGGTTTAGGCATTGCTGTTCTCCATGGCGTTTTAGGTCCATCACAACAATGCAGATCCATTTGATGGGATGGCTCATTTGCTTCCTGCTGTGGCTGGCGTGGGCTGATGGCCCCCCGAGTGCCGCGCCCACAACCACGACCTTGGCCTTCAGTGTCTTTGGTGTGGAAGAGGTTTGCAGCCACTGTGAATGTCCTAACCCAGGCTGGCTGGGCAGTCAGTCAGTGGAGAGCTGTCGAGATGCGTGTGCATTAAAAAGCACACATTTCCAACATGCCAGCGGCAACAGATATGATGGGCAGCCAGGTGATAACAACTGTGCATGCTGTACATCACTCCAGATCATACCTTACGATAATGGATGGGGCGTGAAAGTGCTTCGTGCAGACACAGCGGGCTACTGGCCAGTTTGCGAGCTCTGTTGGTGCGATAAATTAAAACGAACCCCCAAATGGCTGGGGGTTCGTTCAATTAGTGAATGCGCCCAAACGTGCCAGGACGATGGCTTTTCTTACTTTCAGCACGCCAATGGCTTGAAACCAGATGGATCAAGAGGTGACAACAGCTGTGCGTGCTGCTTTAGCGATTTAACCGTCTCGGGATCCGGTTTGGGCAACAACGTCTACGGGTTAAATGAGTTGCCTCTCACAACAGAGGCCGCTCGGCATGACAAGCACGGTCACAAGATCCTTCCGTAAGATTGGCTTATCCATTGAAGGGACTGTTTGGATTTTTTTATTTTGGGGAGCCACAATAAGGCCCTGTTCTCCTTGAGGAGTTATCCTGGAAGGAGTGCTTTGGAGAGTGCTCGAAGTCCTTTGCCAAGCCCCCTTTCTTCCTTCATTCCCAGAAGAAACCCCCGAGAGCACCCTCAGGCATTTCTTGCCCTGATGGCGTTGATAGCCACGAAGCCAGGAAGAGATTGTTCAGGGTGCCGAAGTCAATTGGAGGGGGAAAAGGGGTCCTCATGAACAGGAAGCAGCGCAACATGAAACCCTCCAAACCTAAGCACCTCTTCACAGAGCCTGGACACCAAAACCTAAAGCACAACAATGATTTGCGGTGATTCAGGTGACGACTACGAGCGCGGTCTCTCTCTCTCTCGAGTGCGTAGAACCATACAAGCAGTGCGGCGGCAAGGGCTACGAAGGTGCTGGTACATGCTGTGTCGCTGGTTTCTTGGCTGCCTTAAGATGGGTTGAGGATCGTGCTTTCGAGTCGCGTGTGACACACAAAGTTGTGTACACTTTTTTCTTTTGTTCTTCGGATGTTACCGTGCGCCAAGGACAGCACTGCATGCCACGGAACGACTGGTATTCCCAGTGTTATGCACCGACAAGGACCACGACCACAATTCCTCAGGCACCTGCCAGTTCCCAAAGCCTCCACCCACTTGTGAAGAATCAGGCGGCTTTGGCACAAAGCTTCATGCGACTGTCCATAACTGAATTCGCAGAAGCCTGCATACATCAGTAAGGGCTGCATGGTGCGCATGGTGGTTCCTGCATGTCCACAGTTCAAGGAATCCTTCGCACCCGTCCCCCCCCCTCCTGCTGGCTCCGCTTCATTTGCCTGGTAGGGAGACCTTTTTGTCTCCCGTTTTCTCACCACGGCGATTTGAGTGTGGAGTAGCTTGCAAAAGCGGTGCTTTTAAAGCACCCTGCCCTCCGGAACTCTGCCCAAAAAACTACCACTTCAATCATCCCCACCCTTTAGGGACATTCACTCACGAGAGACAGACTCTTTAAAGGCGTTAGTTCAGGGTTCAGGGGAGAGACAATGTAGGAGGTCTGTGAGCAATACCCCAAAGGATTCACCATATGAAGTAGGTTTACATATATATTTTTTTTTATTTGGTGTGTGTGTACATGGGGTGCCCATTAGGGGATACTAGTAGTAGTAAAATTTGCTGGCTGCCAGCAAATGTGACCCCGAGACGTGCCAACCACACCAACGTTACACTGATGCAGGCATCCTCTATCACCGGCACGGCAACTTCGACTAGTCTCACGGCGAAGGCCTTGCAAGATGTCCGCATGCGTCCCCAACTTCACCACTAGGGAGCCCCCGGGCCTGGGAAGTTAGGGACCTGCACAGGATCATGCTGAGAAGGACTGCTACATGGAGCGCGAGATCGTGGAGGACGAAGGGAGCAGCAGCTTGCATGCAAGAACAAATGAGTCTAGATATCTTGGAACCACAAAATCTGTTTTTAACAATAGTCATTGCATCATAGATTCATTGCAACACTACTTGTGAGCTTTCCGGACCGCATGCCGAGAGTTGTTGGCGGTTGAGGGCCGGCTTAGAGGGGCTTTTGGTCCAAAATGAGCAGCTTGGCAATGAGACCTTCGCAAGCAGCTGTGATCTTGTCCACAGGATGTGTGCTGGGTGTCTTTGAAAGCATGGATGCACAAGGTGATCAAAAGACCATCTCTAGAAGAGCCAGTTGGCTCAGCCGAATGGGCAAAGTTTGCCAGAAGTGGTTGTTCATGGTGGCTGAGGTGTTGGAAAATTCTGCTGCGTAACTTCCGCCACTGACTGTCAAGAACAGTGCTCCAGAATCAACGGCTGCAACAGCATATCTGAATGTGGCGATGGGCACGGGCCTCAGAAGTGTGCATGAAGCCACAGTGGGAGGGACCGCGGCAGGGAGACCATGGCAAGCTTTGCGACAAGTTGGCTGGCCTCCTCTCAGTCTCTACATCTTTGTCATCTTCTCGTCGTGATTCGTGATCATGCGATCAATGTAGACCCATATTGCTACCATTTGCAAGGCATTGCCACTTCAAGGACAAGATTGTGAGCAAGGACGACCTGAGCAAACCAACAGGGCAGCCTGCGCCGCAATTGGATAGCACTGTCATATTGTAGCAAGAATGAGCATTAATACCGCAAATACTCTTTGCTGTATGGTGACAGGAGAGTTTTCTGAAATGAGAACATAGCGGTAAGGAGTAGCTTTGTGCTAGAGTACGGCTTGGAGTCGTGTTTTGTTGCCCTTTCACATGGGCTTGGGGTGTTTCAGTTCTGTTCCACACGTATCAGGATTGTACTTGCAAACAGTCTTGCTAAACAATTTGGGCTGCGCGTTGTTGCAGCTCGTACCAATCGAGGCAAGTGGGCGTTTCCAACAATTACGGGTCCTTTCTGCAAGCCTTGATGTCCAGTGCGGGGGGCGGCCCAACACCAGAACTGCTTTGAGAACCCTAAACCCTAAGCCCCTAAACCCTTGGACCCTTGCATTGCAGTTTAAACCCAGAAACCTGAGGCCACAGTTTCCACTGACGTACCCATATTAGGGACTCATTACCCAAAACACGGCAGCAATGGACCTGAGTTCCTGGCAGCGGGACCTCTGCAAGACCTACTACAAGACTACATGTCAGGCCAGCTCTGGTTTCACGGGGGGAATGGCAAGTCTGTGTGGTAGCTTTGGGTCATTTTTAGGAGTACTTATTCGTAAGCAAGTTTGGGACCTTCTGCTTTTAGTCCACGGCCCTTCGTTCAATCAAGAACAGTCCCTTGCATATAACAAAGCCGTGAAAATACACAACGGGACACTTCATTCTAGAATTCCCTAAGCCTCTAAGGCTTAAACCCTTAACCAACCAATTTTCCATACAGGGTTTACAGGACCTTGTCCTGATTTGTTGGACGAGCAGGGGCTTGCTTCCAACCACACCAACTTTACACTGATGCAGGCGTCCTCTATCACCGGCACAGCAACTTCGACTAGTCTCACGGCGAAGGCCTTGCAAGATGTCCGCATGGGTCCCCAACTTCACCACTAAGAGCCCCCGGGCCTGGGAAGTTAGGGACCTGCACAGGATCATGCTGAGAAGGACTGCTACATGGAGCGCGAGATCGTGGAGGACGAAGGGAGCAGCAGCTTGCATGCAAGAACAAATGAGTCTAGATATCTTGGAACCACAAAATCTGTTTTTAACAATAGTCATTGCATCATAGATTCATTGCAACACTGCTTGTGAGCTTTCCGGACCGCATGCCGAGAGTTGTTGGCGGTTGAGGGCCGGCTTAGAGGGGCTTTTGGTCCAAAATGAGCAGCTTGGCAATGAGACCTTCGCAAGCAGCTGTGATCTTGTCCACAGGATGTGTGCTGGGTGTCTTTGAAAGCATGGATGCACAAGGTGATCAAAAGACCATCTCTAGAAGAGCCAGTTGGCTCGGCCGAATGGGCAAAGTTTGCCAGAAGTGGCTGTTCATGGTGGCTGAGGTGTTGGAAAATTCTGCTGCGTAACTTCCGCCACTGACTGTCAAGAACAGTGCTCCAGAATCAACGGCTGCAACAGCATATCTGAATGTGGCGATGGGCACGGGCCTCAGAAGTGTGCATAAAGCCACAGTGGGAGGGACCGCGGCAGGGAGACCATGGCAAGCTTTGCGACAAGTTGGCTGGCCTCCTCTCAGTCTCTACATCTTTGTCATCTTCTCGTCGTGATTCGTGATCATGCGATCAATGTAGACCCATATTGCTACGATTTGCAAGGCATTGCCACTTCAAGGACAAGATTGTGAGCAAGGACGACCTGAGCAAACCAACAGGGCAGCCTGCGCCGCAATTGGATAGCACTGTCAGATTGTAGCAAGAATGAGCATTAATACCGCAAATACTCTTTGCTGTATGGTGACAGGAGAGTTTTCTGAAATGAGAACATAGCGGTAAGGAGTAGCTTTGTGCTAGAGTACGGCTTGGAGTCGTGTTTTGTTGCTCTTTCACATGGGCTTGGGGTGTTTCAGTTCTGTTCCACACGTATCAGGATTGTACTTGCAAACAGTCTTGCTAAACAATTTGGGCTGCGCGTTGTTGCAGCTCGTACCAATCGAGGCAAGTGGGCGTTTCCAACAATTACGGGTCCTTTCTGCAAGCCTTGATGTCCAGTGCGGGGGGCGGCCCAACACCAGAACTGCTTTGAGAACTCTAAACCCTAAGCCCCTAAACCCTCGGACCCTTGCATTGCAGTTTAAACCCAGAAACCTGAGGCCACAGTTTCCACTGACGTACCCATATTAGGGACTCATTACCCAAAACACGGCAGCAATGGACCTGAGTTCCTGGCAGCGGGACCTCTGCAAGACCTACTACAAGACTACATGTCAGGCCAGCTCTGGTTTCACGGGGGGAATGGCAAGTCTGTGTGGTAGCTTTGGGTCATTTTTAGGAGTACTTATTCGTAAGCAAGTTTGGGACCTTCTGCTTTTAGTCCACGGCCCTTCGTTCAATCAAGAACAGTCCCTTGCATATAACAAAGCCGTGAAAATACACAACGGGACACTTCATTCTAGAATTCCCTAAGCCTCTAAGGCCTAAACCCTTAACCAACCAATTTTCCATACAGGGTTTACAGGACCTTGTCCTGATTTGTTGGACGAGCAGGGGCTTGCTTCCAACCACACCAACTTTACACTGATGCAGGCGTCCTCTATCACCGGCACAGCAACTTCGACTAGTCTCACGGCGAAGGCCTTGCAAGATGTCCGCATGGGTCCCCAACTTCACCACTAAGAGCCCCCGGGCCTGGGAAGTTAGGGACCTGCACAGGATCATGCTGAGAAGGACTGCTACATGGAGCGCGAGATCGTGGAGGACGAAGGGAGCAGCAGCTTGCATGCAAGAACAAATGAGTCTAGATATCTTGGAACCACAAAATCTGTTTTTAACAATAGTCATTGCATCATAGATTCATTGCAACACTGCTTGTGAGCTTTCCGGACCGCATGCCGAGAGTTGTTGGCGGTTGAGGGCCGGCTTAGAGGGGCTTTTGGTCCAAAATGAGCAGCTTGGCAATGAGACCTTCGCAAGCAGCTGTGATCTTGTCCACAGGATGTGTGCTGGGTGTCTTTGAAAGCATGGATGCACAAGGTGATCAAAAGACCATCTCTAGAAGAGCCAGTTGGCTCGGCCGAATGGGCAAAGTTTGCCAGAAGTGGCTGTTCATGGTGGCTGAGGTGTTGGAAAATTCTGCTGCGTAACTTCCGCCACTGACTGTCAAGAACAGTGCTCCAGAATCAACGGCTGCAACAGCATATCTGAATGTGGCGATGGGCACGGGCCTCAGAAGTGTGCATAAAGCCACAGTGGGAGGGACCGCGGCAGGGAGACCATGGCAAGCTTTGCGACAAGTTGGCTGGCCTCCTCTCAGTCTCTACATCTTTGTCATCTTCTCGTCGTGATTCGTGATCATGCGATCAATGTAGACCCATATTGCTACGATTTGCAAGGCATTGCCACTTCAAGGACAAGATTGTGAGCAAGGACGACCTGAGCAAACCAACAGGGCAGCCTGCGCCGCAATTGGATAGCACTGTCAGATTGTAGCAAGAATGAGCATTAATACCGCAAATACTCTTTGCTGTATGGTGACAGGAGAGTTTTCTGAAATGAGAACATAGCGGTAAGGAGTAGCTTTGTGCTAGAGTACGGCTTGGAGTCGTGTTTTGTTGCTCTTTCACATGGGCTTGGGGTGTTTCAGTTCTGTTCCACACGTATCAGGATTGTACTTGCAAACAGTCTTGCTAAACAATTTGGGCTGCGCGTTGTTGCAGCTCGTACCAATCGAGGCAAGTGGGCGTTTCCAACAATTACGGGTCCTTTCTGCAAGCCTTGATGTCCAGTGCGGGGGGCGGCCCAACACCAGAACTGCTTTGAGAACTCTAAACCCTAAGCCCCTAAACCCTCGGACCCTTGCATTGCAGTTTAAACCCAGAAACCTGAGGCCACAGTTTCCACTGACGTACCCATATTAGGGACTCATTACCCAAAACACGGCAGCAATGGACCTGAGTTCCTGGCAGCGGGACCTCTGCAAGACCTACTACAAGACTACATGTCAGGCCAGCTCTGGTTTCACGGGGGGAATGGCAAGTCTGTGTGGTAGCTTTGGGTCATTTTTAGGAGTACTTATTCGTAAACAAGTTTGGGACACAGGACCTTCTGCTTTTAGTCCACGGCCCTTAGTTCAATCAAGAACAGTCCCTTGCATATAACAAAGCCGTGAAAATACACAACGGGACGCTTCATTCTAGAATTCCCTAAGCCTCTAAGCCCTAAACCCTCAACCAACCAATTTTCCATACAGGGTTTACAGGACCTTGTCCTGATTTGTTGGACGAGCAGGGGCTTGCTCAACCCACACCAACTTTACACTGATGCAGGCGTCCTCTATCACCGGCACAGCAACTTCGACTAGTCTCACGGCGCGGGCCTTGCAGAAACTTCGCATGCTAACTGTGCAATGTTGGCATGAGTGCAAGTGTCACAGAATTTGTGCCTGGATCGGCTGGGGCTTGCTTTCGGCTGCCAGCAAATGTGACCCCGGGATGTGCCAAGCACACCTGCGTGAAACTGATGCAGGCGTCCTCTATCACCGGCACGGCAACTTCGACTAGTCTCACGGCGAGGGCCTTGCAGAAACTTCGTATGCTAACTGTGCAATGTTGGCATGAGTGCAAGTGTCAGAACTTAAGCCTGGATCGGCTGGGGCTTGCTTTCGGCTGTCAGCATTTGACCCCGGGATGTGCCAAGCACACCTGCGTGAAACTGATGCAGGCGTCCTCTATCACCGGCACGGCAACTTCGACTAGTCTCACGGCGAGGGCCTTGCAGAAACTTCGTATGCTAACTGTGCAATGTTGGCATGAGTGCAAGTGTCAGAACTTATGCCTGGATCGGCTGGGGCTTGCTTTCGGCTGTCAGCATTTGACCCCGGGATGTGCCAAGCACACCTGCGTGAAACTGATGCAGGCGTCCTCTATCACCGGCACGGCAACTTCGACTAGTCTCACGGCGAGGGCCTTGCAGAAACTTCGTATGCTAACTGTGCAATGTTGGCATGAGTGCAAGTGTCAGAACTTAAGCCTGGATCGGCTGGGGCTTGCTTTCGGCTGTCAGCATTTGACCCCGGGATGTGCCAAGCACACCTGCGTGAAACTGATGCAGGCGTCCTCTATCACCGGCACGGCAACTTCGACTAGTCTCACGGCGAGGGCCTTGCAGAAACTTCGTATGCTAACTGTGCAATGTTGGCATGAGTGCAAGTGTCAGAACTTAAGCCTGGATCGGCTGGGGCTTGCTTTCGGCTGTCAGCAAATGTGACCCCGGGATGTGCCAAGCACACCTGCGTGAAACTGATGCAGGCGTCCTCTATCACCGGCACGGCAACTTCGACTAGTCTCACGGCGAGAGCCTTGCAGAAACTTCGTATGCTAACTGTGCAATGTTGGCATGAGTGCAAGTGTCAGAACTTACTGGGGCTTGCTTTCGGCTGTCAGCATTTGACCCCGGGATGTGCCAAGCACACCTGCATGAAACTGATGCAGGCGTCCTCTATCACCGGCACGGCAACTTCGACTAGTCTCACGGCGAGGGCCTTGCAGAAACTTCGTATGCCAACTGTGCAATGTTGGCATGAGTGCAAGTGTCAGAACTTATGCCTGGATCGGCTGGAGCTTGCTTTCGGCTGTCAGCATTTGATGCCGGGATGTGCCAAGCACACCTGCGTGAAACTGATGCAGGCGTCCTCTATCACCGGCACGGCAACTTCGACTAGTCTCACGGCGAGGGCCTTGCAGAGACTTCGTATGCTAACTGTGCAATGTTGGCATGAGTGCAAGTGTCAGAACTTATGCCTGGATCGGCTGGGGCTTGCTTTCGGCTGTCAGCATTTGATCCCGGGATGTGCCAAGCACACCTGCGTGAAACTGATGCAGGCGTCCTCTATCACCGGCACGGCAACTTCGACTAGTCTCACGGCGAGGGCCTTGCAGAAACTTCGTATGCTAACTGTGCAATGTTGGCATGAGTGCAAGTGTCAGAACTTATGCCTGGATCGGCTGGAGCTTGCTTTCGGCTGTCAGCATTTGACCCCGGATGTGCCAAGCACACCTGCGTGAAACTGATGCAGGCGTCCTCTATCACCGGCACGGCAACTTCGACTAGTCTCACGGCGAGGGCCTTGCAGAAACTTCGTACACTAACTGTGCAATGTTGGCATGAGTGCAAGTGTCGCAGAACTTGTGCCTGGATCGGCTGGGGCTTGCTTTCGGCTACCAGCAAATGTGACCCCGGGATGTGCCAACCACACCAATGTTACACTGATGCAGGCGTCCTCTATCACCGGCACAGCAACTTCGACCAGTCTCACGGCGAGGGCCTTGCAGAACCTTCGTCGTATGCCAATTGTAAACGCTTGCGCGCGCCGCCTCGGCAGCCGGTCCAGCCCAAGGGTAGACCAATGGAGAGCCCCCCAGTGGTGCATCTGCGACTTTCCATTCCGAAATGGTCTGCAAAGACGGAAAGCGAGCGCAGGCAAAGGTTGAGAGGGGTCCCAGTCTCGTGAGATCCCGCTTGTTGCCATTTCCCACCAAGGGTCCTGCCATTTGCAAGGACACGGAGTCCAGCAAGAGGGGTTGTCGGGGGTCAAGTCCCAGGGGCGGGTGGGTGTCCTTGGGCAGGGTGGTGGGAGCTGCCAGAGGGTTTCCCACCGAAATGGAAGGGTCTTGGGTCTTGCGATTCCCAAAGAGGGGGGGGGGTCCCCAATTGTGCCGTGTTGGCATGAGTGCAAGTGTCGCAGAACTTGTCAGCAAATCCCGGGACGTGCCAGCCGCACTTGCGTGAAACTGATGCAGGCCTCCTCTACCTCCGGTACCGCAAGGTCGACCAGTCTCACGGTGAGGGCCTTGCAGAGACTTCACATGCTGACTGCGCAATGTTGCCATAGCAAGTGCCACAGCACCTGCGCAACGATAGGCAAGAAGCTTGCCTCTTGCCTTCCTAGATGCGACCTTTGGGCTTGCCAGCCATACTTTAAAGTGATTGTGCAGGCAACCGGCTCTGCAACTTCATCCTCAACATCTGTCGCAGTGCAGACCTCAAAAAGCTTTAAGCATGCAGCAACCTGCACCTGTTTACATCGCGGCCTTGCGCAAAATCACAGAGACGAACTCGCAGCAATACAAACCACATTTAAAAAGTTTGCGTGGGCAAAACACACATGCGGAGAAATCTTGCCGCAAAAAGGAAGCCTCTACTACGTGGTCTTCGACAGTTCCCGCTACTTCCACGACTGCGTCCTCTACCGTGAAGTCCTTACAAACTCATAGACCCACGCTTGCTTTCATAGAATTACTAAGTGTGAATTGGCTGGACTGGCGCGTTCTGCAGCTTCTTGATGGAGAGTTGAACTCCTTGCAGTATGGGTGGATCAACCGCCGGCAGTGCAAAAAGAGCGAGCAAAACCGAAATGGAAGTCCGTTGCTCAACCAAGACCAGAGTGTCAGGCACATCCTTTAGAAAACGGCTCTGCAGGCTTGCCAACACAACTGGGTATCGTTGCTTCCAGCCAGGTATCATGGACAAGCACGACATTGCCATACGAAGTCGGCAGCTGGCTTCAAGTAGCGTCGTCCCGCAACCCGGGGCCTTCTAGTAGCCTCATAACCATCATAACCCTATCTGTTTTTATGAGGTGGGTGGCGTAATGGTGGCTGTAGGGGCACACCTTGTGATTCCATAGTGTACAGAAGCCCATCATTCAGGCTGGGGGTTACTTTCAGAATGCGCCCAGGAATCTTGTACAGAGTTTTGTGTATACTCTCCAACCCTGAAGACATTGTCGAAGTCAGAAGAATAGGCAAGTCGCGAGTGCCAGATACAGGAATGGTTACATTAAGGCTCTGAGTCCGTCAAAGGGACCCTACTATAGACCCTAAACCCTAAGCCCTAAACCCAACTTTCCCCCCCCTACATGAAGACCTAGACTCCTTTAAAGACACCAAACGCCAAGTGGGATCCTCTTCACCGGAGGCTTGTCAGGAGCAAATCTTGATGTTAAAAGGAAGGCTTCCTGTAAATGGACCGTACTCTTGGGACAGCTAGGTAGGCACTTGGGAACTGGGATAACCTGTATTTGACCTGTACGGGTTTAAGCACCTTGTTGGGTTTAAGATTTTGATTCAGACTATTTTCATAGGGTTGCTTGGGCCAGCCGAGTGAAAAAGCCCTAAGAAACCAAACCCTAAGCCCTATCCCGAAACACTAAACCCATAAACCACAAACCCCTAAACCCTGAACCCTAAGGTGAAGTCTGCGGCTCCTGCCGATGCTCCCGAATTCGACCGGACAGCTATCGCGGAGTTGTGACCCTGGCGAGGCGCCCGCCCCGGATTCTGGGACGAGGTGTTTTTTTCGAGTCCTTATGCCATATATCTATATATATGTGTATATACATATATATATATATATACATACAACCCCAAATCCCTACCCTTTGGACACTCTTAAATTTCCCTTATTGGGTTTAAGAGGATCTTATTGAGGACCATGTTCCACTATAAAGTCCCTGTGCTCCTCTAGATTGTTTTGTCGCCAGAAGTGTTATAAACCCCCTAAGTTAGCTCACAAGTCCGCTCGCTTTTCAGCTCTATCCTCGAGACTTAGAGACTTAGAGTGGGATCTGTGCTTCTTGGTTTAGGGCTTAGGCTTCAAGTTTTTCCTCTTGGGGCAGTGTCAGTAGTCTCTATTCCCGTGAAGAGTCCAGGCATTGCAGGGAAGGTATGTCTGCTATCATGGGCCATTCCCGACCCCAGCTCATTGGGCGCTTGATCAAAATGCTTGTTCTGGCCCTCAGGACCCCTCCTCATTTAGTAGGATTGCTCTTATCAGGGGTGAATTCTTTCATGGTACCCCCTTCAGAAAGTTGCTTAGATCAACCCCCATGTACCATAATCCCTGCTACAACCCTTACAATCGTCCCCGAATCCCTTTGAAACCAATCCTAAACCCTAAACCCTTCAATTTCCTCAAGGACCTGTAGGTCAACTACGGGTCAAGCCCATTTGAGGTGCGCCTCCCTCTGCTGGACAGCGAATTTGAGCCATCTACAACACTTTGGCAGCAGTCTCGACGGACCAGGCTTGCTACTGTAGGGTTTTCTTTGAGCCTTCTTCTGGGAGGCCGAGGGTTCCTCGAAAGGAGACTCAAGGATTACTGTTGGGATTCTTAGGGGAACTATGGTAAAGACGCTAAAGATGTCGAAGTTACTCCCAGGGTTTTCCACTGGGTCTTCAGCACGGTCCGTACCTTCTTTCATGAGGTCCGATGTCCCTTGTTTCTCCTGTGTGGGCGCATGCATGGTCGATTCCAAATAAGTAGCGTCCTCTCATAAAGCCCTGAGCAATTAGATTGCGCTCCTCAGTTAACACTATGAGAACACCCCCGAACCAGACCCTTGATTTTTCCTCAAACAGGAACCATTTGGGGTGCTCTCCTCAGAAAAAGTGTCGCGCGCTTGGCCGGATGGGCGTCACGCGGTTGTTTGGCCTGTGGTCTCCCGTGGTCTCCAATCATGAGCGCACAGGTCCGGCCGGCTGGGTGTCACGCGGTTCGGTCGGCGGTCTCCCAGATGGGACCAGGCCAAAAAATAACTAACTTCGAAAAAGATGGGTGTTTTGCGACCAACCACGATGGGACATACATACCGGGGCATGCCATATGAGGACATGCATCCCGGGGCATGCCATAGTTTTTTCGCCACCCGAAAACTGCATTTGGCGATGGTTTCTCATCGTGTTGAAATCTGGATTTGGGCTGGTTCATAAATTCTTCGATTTATTCCCCACCCTCGGTGCGGGGTTGTTAGATTTTTAAGTCAACCATTCTCCTCGTCCGTCCTCTTCCGCTCATAGCTCCCCCACAAAATCCCGCCGAGTATCCCTGGAGTGCCCAACCCCCGAGAATCCCGCAGAGAATCCCGCCGAGTACCCCCGGAGTGCCAATCACAACGAATCCCGCAGAGAATCCCGCCAAGTATCCTGGAAGGCCGAACCGCCGAGAGAGGCTTCCCGAAAGTCCCCGCAAGAGGGTCCCCTCAAAAAATCCCCCAAAATCCCTCAGGAGCCCAACCCTCGAGAGGCTCGTTCACGAGAGTCCTGAAAGCCTAAACCGCCAAACCCCAAGAGAGTCCCCCCAATAGGATTTGTTTTTGTTTTTTTTTTTGGGGGGGGGGGGGGGGGGGGGGGGGGTGGTGCTCTTGAGCAAATAGTAGGATGGTCGTCCCTATAGCCCATTCCTGATTCAGCATAAGTAAGTTGAGGGCCTGGGCTCTTGCGGGACTGCCTCTGAGTTGCAGGCACTGCAGGAGTCTGCGTATGCTGCGATGGAACTGAGATGGAGGAGGTGGGAGCTGCTGCAAGCAGAAACAGCAGCAAAAAACAAAGGACAACAACATGACAAGAGTACGTAGCAAAATTGCTAGCAAGATCGACACTATTTAAAGTCATGTCACAGAATCCCCGTCATCGCGTTCTCCAGAACCACGGACAGAAGAAACGAAACCCAGCCTCAGCAGACCCAGCAAGCTTGAAAGTCAATGTCAAGCTTGTGCCAAGATAGATATTTCTCTTTGTTGGATTTTGCTTGGGATTCTACGGGCTAAATCAAAATTCAGGTGTTGTTCATGCTCTTTTGCATCTTCTGTCCTGCTTCCGCTTTCAAAGGCATGGAGGAGGCCAGAAGGCGTCCCGCGGAACCCTTTAGTTCCCACAGCGGCCGGAGAAGGTCATTCTCTGGGGTTCCCAATCCGATCCTGTCCCCTTAATCAACCCACAATTGACGTTCCCATTGAAATCCTGGGGAGCTATGTAAGGCATGCTAAGTATCATTTCGGGGAGTGGATTACTCAAAGAAAACCTTATCTAAATCAACACCGTTCAGGCTCCTATCAAGGCAGGTTCATGAGAGGCTCTCACCAGTATGAAAATATGCGGTCGAAACTGCCGAGCGGGTCATCCGAAAGCCAGGCAGCCTATCCCGCTTCTACCCTCATATATTGCTTCTAGCTATGAGTAGGGCTGTAGGTGAGACATAGAGGCATTGCTCCACTTCGGGAACTTCTAAGCCCCACTTACCCTGGCAAAAGCAATTCAGATTGCCTGATTGTAGCCGCCACGTAACACGTCGCCCGCTGGTGCTCAGGGCCGCTCCGGCATGCGGGGCTACGGATTACAAGCGATCGAAGAAGTGCCATTTCTGGAATTGTGATGGAATTGTGACACACCGCCTCAGGAGTTCTGCGACATATCATCGTCAGTGAAATCCCTAGGGGGATTTTTTACAGCGGTTTCCCCCAGAAGATGTCCCGCTAAAGCCCAAGAGGCAAGCAGTTAGAGGTCCAATACACGAAAACGAGTACATGGTTCAGGCCTTGAAGGACCCGGCAGGAGAAGTGAAGGAACCTGGGATGGGGTTGGCCGCCGCGCTCATTTGGGCGCAGGACCTTGCAAGAGGAGTTGAAGACTTGTGTTCAACAAAGTTGCTGCACCTAAGGTGCAGACGAGCCGCTTTTTCATGGAGCAATTCCTTCCGAGGACGGGGATGTGTGCAAAGATCCTTCAATGGTAAGAGGTGAGACCAGTTGTGCCTTCACTTGGCTAAGGAAGGAACGAATAAAACCTCTTCTCGGGGCAAAGGGTTCCTTTGGGTTTTGGGTTTTGGGTTTAGATCCATCTCCACACTCATCATGCGAATCTTGTAGAAGGTACCTCCCCCCGCAGAGGAACCCTGGGGCTGGTGAAGGGTCTCTAGGGATGATTGTAAGAAGTAGGACCGTTGAAAATTTGGTTTTGAGGTACCCGGTGATGTCAAGAGCCCGCTGTCTTACCTCACAGTGTGCACAGCCAATAAAGAACAACATTCATCAGTCGACTCGGACAAATGGCAGCTTCCCATGGCGCCGCTATAGCGCTAGAACCTAGAACAGAAATGGGCAGCGGATGGTGTGAGACTTGAATGACATGCATGAAGCCCATGACCAAGCAGACCCAAATTGTTGAAAATGTCCCTTTGGCATGGGGTTCATTTGCGCAAGGTACATGAGGCCGCCGCATGCGGATAGGAGCAGCATATGGCCAGAGAAATTTAAGAGAAAATTGCCCCTAGTGGGGTCATGGGCTTGTTCCTTAGTAATAGCCTTCCAGTCTAGTACTGGAAGCATGCTGGCACCTGAAGTTTTTAAGCGTTCCCCCAATAAGGTGAAGTGATTCTGGAGTATCGCTTTCAATCTTTTTCGGAGATCTCACTGACGGGTGAATGGTCCATGAACCCTTGCAAAACCCGGTCTCTACAGCAAACGAGCCCCCAATCTGAGCAGAAACTCTTTTCTGCCAGGATTTGTAGAGTTGTGAAGTGCTGTACACATATCCCCAACCTGGTTTCGTGACCATAGCTGCGCCTTAAAACCAATCACGGCACATGGAGGTCAGCAACACACATTTGGGGGCGAGGCCCTTCGGAGTACAAACGCAGAAACGGGTCTCGGGTTTCAAATCGGGGTTTGGGTTTTTATGGTTGCATACGAGGATACTTAAGGGTTCTTCCCTCATCATCCCCGTAAAAACAGTAGAACCAACGCGTCCGCAAAATGGTCCTCACATTCACCTTTGAAAAAAACCCTACAACCCCTGAGTCCTTCATGCAACCGCCATTTTAACGTCCTTCGCATTTGCCAGGGATCCTCTGGGCACCTTGCCCAAGGCACGATATGACCTGCTTCCCAAAATGGGTCTCTTCAAAGGACTACAGGATTTTACCATGCGTTAGGGGGATTATAGGAAGTGTTTGTGGCTTTTTGTTGGTACCGTTTAGGGTTTAGGGAAACCTTATTATGTTATGATGGTAACCCCGACATCCTCGAACTTGTCCAGCGCAACTCTCACACAAGAGGCCGCTCGGCATGACAAGCACGGTCACAAGATCCTTCCCATTAAAGGGACTGTTTTAATTGGCTTATTTTGATGTGCCATAAGAAGGTTGAACCTGTTATCCCTCAGCATTTATGGCAAGGTAAGCCCTAGGAGTCATAATCAGGATTGTAGTAGTGAGTGGAAGGTGAATAAAAGTGGTGTTAACAGTCCGGATGAAGACGGGATGATTATAGGGATTAGAGGACATTTCTCGGGATTGTAGAAGGATGATCCCATTTCTCTCCTAGCATGAGACCCACTGTAACTGTTGTTTCAGCATTATGCGGGTTGGTTTGGGGGCGATTTGGGGAAAGAATATCAACTTAATGCAACGAGATCGGTCTAGAGTTCCTTCAAAGGATTGCATTAGGGTCTATGGGGACGACAAGCAAGCATTCTCCAGGCCACAGATACGCAGGGCTTCTTTTCAGGAATTTGGCCTACTCCTGCTCTGGTTCCTTGGTACTTTGCCCCTCGCCGATATTGCAGGTGGATGAAGATGAGAAGGCGACGCAGCAGGCAGGGCAAAAAATCGAGATTTTGGATTGTAATGAGAAGTCCGTTCACATGATATTGCACACTTTCGTTCCGACTCGGGGCGCTCATGAATAATTCTTGTTGGTTCCATCGCAGATAGCTCTGCAAGTTCCGAGTCAAATTATTCAAGCTTGCACGCGGCCATGCGTCACAAGATCCGTGACACACCACATCAGGACCTGAACCCCTCAGCCCCACAATGGACATGCCCATTTTGCGATAGCGTGCTGCACATAGCAGAGCATGCGAAGAAGTGTGGAGCGTCGGATTTTGTCTTCATTGTCTTTGGTGCACTAGTTGAAGTTGATTCCTGTAGACGCGCCTGGTCTTTGCCCATGAGCTACTGGGAAAAAGCGAAGTCCTGTTGCACTGCCTAGACACACCCAGCTCAACACGGAGATGCCCAGGAACCATCCCATAAAAACCTTGGTATAACCAACGTTTCCGATGCCAAACGGATGAAAACCTCGATAAATCAAAGGAACCGATAGAAACCGGTGGATTCTCAAACTATGGCCGGGCAAACGTATGCATTTTGAAACCGCCAAAAGATCGGGTGACATTCTTCGGGGAAGGGGATTTGTTTTCAATTGGGTTCCCGCCTTGCGGCTTCCAGCCCTGAAACAGGACGGATCCTTGTCCACGGCAGCCTTGATCACGAGCCTTGTCTTTCTTAGTCTATAGTTGAATTTCAAACTTTGTAGGTTTCCTTATTTAAAGATCAAGAAAGTTTAGCCCTTTATCCTTTGGCTATTGAAGAAGTAAGTTCAGTAGAGTTTACCAGGAGACTCCTCAGGCGCTGGCAGGCCATAAGTAGCTTACTCCTGACGAACCTCTGACAAAGAATCGCCTGGCAAACCTAACATTGAGGTAGCGAAAATGTCAAGGACTTGGTACGTAGGTTACAAGTATCTTAGAGTATGTCACCGAGTCCGCTGAGCCTCCATGTGTGCAAAATCAAGGATTTCCACTGTGGTGGCCTCCACACTCACCCTTGTGATCTTGGCGGTCGTGATGAAGAAGCGCAGAACCAAGAAGGCTGGACAAAAAGTTGCTAGATTGAGTAGGGCTGATAGGGTTCTTTAGGGTTCTTTAGACATGGCTCCAGCTTGCAAAGGTTTGTCCCGTTCCAATTCAGACGTTGGCAAAAGTCAAGCCCTGCGAAAGGCAAAAATCGGACAGGTACAGTGTGAAGAATGTGGGCCGCAATGTGGCCCATGCAGAGGATCACAAGGAGAACTGGTCCACGGGCCCCATAGTAGCCTCCAAGCGACCCTGATTTTGCAAAATTAATTCTGACAGCTCTCCTTCTAAAATACTATCCTTCTAGGAAGATCCCTCTATTCCCACACAAAGGGCCGTAAATTTGGAGAAGTCTCAACCTTTCAGTAGGTAAGGATACTGCACAAAGCCCTAGAGTGAAAAATATGCACTTGGACATAGCCCTATTGGGGCACACTCTTCTATAGGGTCCCTCCCACAAGCCAGAAGGTACTGAAGGTTTCAAGTCTGGGAACTGCGTCGCTTCTTATGGCATCTGCTACAGTATATCATTAAACTCTAATGTTATTGGATGACGTCTTACGCGTGGACGGACTGGACATCCGGGAAGCAATGTTTAAAGGTCCCCGTTGCAAGACGTGGGAACCTGCACAGCCCTTATCACCTCCCCAAAAGGGAGACGCTACAGCCCGGTTCAGGCAGTCAAAGCGCTTGCAATGCTGGCTGCTCGGGAATCATTAGAGCTGGGCATCGCCACGGAGTACTTGTGCCTTAGATGCAAGTGCGGCACGAGCTTCAGCCAAAGTGCGCCCCAGGGATTCCATACAGTCCACGCGGGTTCTGTGACGATCCGTTTGCGGGCCTCAGAGGTTTTGACCTGGTGCATGTGCTAGCACACGAGATCTTATGATAAGCACGATCGGCAAATACACTTCCTAGACTTATCCCTATCATCCATGCTATCGGTTCAAGTCTCATTGAAGTCGTCCTCGAACAAGAAAGGGTCGCATAATGTCAGCCCAAAGACTTGTATTTACGACCAAGTTGAGATAGATTCCCCATTGCCACTTCAAAAGATGCCTTCTGGTAGCTCACTTTTTCACTCAATCCCTCCCCTGGTGTGCGATTGTGTGTGGATAAATCTATGTGCAGAGGAGTCCTTCGTAGGTTGTAGCTGATAGGGGGAGGGTATACCACTCCCACAAGAATCCTGTCTTGGGGTTGGGCGGTCGTCCTTTGAGAAAGTATTGATGAAGAACAATTGTGCAAGTTTCAAAACATGCAAAATCCTATGCAAGATCATTTGTCGTCTTGCTCTCCAGACATAGACTCTCTGCCACAGAAGTCGAGGCATTTTGGGTGGGACCCTACGGGCTACGGATAGCTGACGAGGGACGTAGCGGAATAATGGCTCTGTGGTGAATACACACAGAACATGACTCATGACAAGTCAGGAGCCCCGAGTTAGGTCCAACTGGATTCGACTTCCAAAACAGCAAAATCACAACATATGAATGGTCGCAATATAGTGGAACCCTAAACCATCTATGATTGATAACCCCCCTCAGGTGGCCAATTTCGCTTGCAGCTCTTAGATTCGTCTTAGATCTGCCCCCACCTTTCGAAGCCAACATGGGGGGTTCGCAAAGCTAGGGGTTTTGGGGTGTAGGGCTTCCGTGTTGGGGCTAGGCTCGCAACGGGGACCATCATCTTGGTGATATGTATTGGGGGTGACCCTTTTTGGAGAATTCGCCACAGAGAAAGCGCTGACTTCAGACGTCTGTATATGGTATGATTTTATTTTTCTGACCTTCGTACTCTTGCATCCACAAGTCTGTGCAAGGCTGGAGACATTCCCACGAGAGGCTCAAACTGCATCAGGCCAGCCACAAATCGCAAGCTGTGGTTTCTCAAACTTCGGCCTGGCCTTTGGGGTTTATCATGGGGACTGACGTAAAGGGCAGGTTGTCATTGGATTTATTGGATTGAGGCCGCACGTGGAGACCGAATCTGCCTGGCAGACACTCAGACAGATGGCCCCTTCCTAAAACGTTTGAGTGTCTGAGTGTCTGTTCTTTTCAGTTTGCGCCCAATTTGCACGCTCCCTGTGTCATTGCGTTGTGAGTCCTACTTGCAAAACACAACAATGCCAGGGATTCTCTGTAGTTGAACCTTTGTGAGTTTTATGGTTGTTGTTGGAGGCTCGTGACACGGTCTATTTCCAGGGAAGCCGCCAGCATCTGAAGCAAACAGTGAGCTTTCAAGCGCCATAACAAACGTTGGGAAGGCACTGGGAGTTCTTAAGGAGTCCTTGTTCTGCATCGAAAAACCTCGGTAGAATACTGTTTTGGGAATAAGCCCATAGCACTCCTTTTCAAGGGCTTCAAAAGCCTAGCTAGGATTATATGGCGCACCCCCCAACCATGGGGAATAAGGCTTGAATAAGGACGACCAAAGTCTAGTGATGCTGACTCTGACCCCTCAACAGGAAGACGCACTGTCCCCTGAAAGGGACTCGGGGGTTTGGAGGATGATTCAGGGGAGCATTGACAGCGTGTTTTTGGGGCAGTTTGTTTCCACTCACCGCGCAGACCGCGCAGGAGCGTCGAACCCAAACTTCTATGAGCTGTGCAAGTTCGTGGCCATCGGCCCCAGTGGCAAGGGCTTTGGCAAGACCTGCCCACGTGATGGCAAGTTGAACTGCAGCATTGTGGATGCCTTGGAAACGCCCAGGCAGATGTGACGTCGGTGTTGAAGAAAGTCTTGAATCCAGGGTTTTTGGGCTCAGGTGATGGTTAGGTCGGCTCGGTACACGAGCAGATTTGGCCTTGTAGGGTTTTGGCTGAGTTGGGAGTGGGACGGTCAGGCGAGGGAAAGCTACTCACTTCGTCTCCTGGTGTTGGGCGTATTCCTTGGACGACGTGGTGGACGCCATCCAAAGCTGGACGCAGTCCTCCAACGCTCCTCCGTCGACCCACATCTGTTTGTGGATGTGTTTCTTCTGCAACAATCAGTACAGGATCCTAGGTCCACTTCAGGAGAAGCTGACATTTTCATGGTGACCTCTTTTCTATCCAACAAAAAAGGACCTGACAAATTCAAGCGTCCATCATTCTTGCTCTTTCAGTTCATCCTTATCCAACGCATGAAATCCCCAAAACCCTCAGCAAAGCTCTCTGAAGCCTTTTTCTGAACAACCCTTGAGAAAGCTCCTTTTGAACCCCCATTCCACGGAGTCAGGATCCTGGAGGAGCGCAGCGCCACGGGCTCCGCGGAGTTGCAAACCGTCTTCGAGGCCCACCTCGCCGCTGCAGGCAGAGAGAATCTCAAACAAGAATATTGTCATAATAAATAAGAACAATAATAGTAATCATAATAATAATAGTATTAAAATGTGTGTGTGTGTGTGTGTGGATAGATAGATAGAACATATGTATGTGTGTGGAATCGTGCCTTTTGGGAAGGGGCTTTGGGGCTGGATTAGGGGCCTTGGCAGTGGTTTGGAGGAAGTTTAAAGGAGGTTGTTAGAGGTGTTGGGCGGTTTGGGTTTAGGTCTAGGGACTCGGGGCTTGGATTTGGAGGGTTCGGTTCAGGATTCGATTCGGCCCTGTTGAGAAGTCCTCGTGAAATGACACAGGTAAGACTCACCTGGCTGCTCCGGCATGAGCAGAGCATGCTCATGAGCAGAGCATGCTCCTGAGCAGAGCATGCTGGAGCAAGAGCCATACATGAGCAGCATCGTCTTTAGGGTAGAATCACTGCCCCAGATTTTTGGGCAAATGGCCATGGTTCCTGTGTACTCCAAGCTTGTTTCTTGTGTGTTCGCAACAGGCCAGATGCTGGTCATCCTGGACTCGTTCCTGCAGCCCCACTACTACTCGCGAGCCTGGTGTTTGTTTGAGACCTTTGTGTGCATCCAGCAAGAATACCCACGCAGAATCTTGTTGCCGAGTCGGGAGTCTTGGCTGTGTTAGTCTTGGCTGTGTTCTCCCCCATCGCTTCATACCAACTCCCCCTCCCCATCTAGGACCACAAGAGTGGATTATTCTTAGTGCTTCTTGCAATGGTCATTTCTTCGGCGCCTTAATCTTAGGCACTTAGGTACCTCCACCAAGCAAGCGAGTCTCCGTATCGGCTTGTGAGATGTCTGTACCTCAACAGGTAGCCAGAAGTGTTTTAAGCTTATTCCGGGGCATTCTCACACCAAGCGCTACTCAGCCGCTACTCCCCTCTTCCAAACAAAGGGTATTCATCAGTCAAGGAACTCGAGGCTTTCAAGGAGACCATCGAGACGAGCGGACCAGCCCCGATACGACAAAGGATCCAAGGTCGGGGCTCCCAAATGAACAAATGAACGATTGATTTCCCAAAAAAGGCGTTGATAGACTCGTTACCTCCTGGCCCCCGTTTGTGGATTCTGCAAAATCTACATGCTCCCCGCTCGACGAACTGCTCTCGCGGCGCGGGAATACCCTGAAAATGGTGAGGTCTCAAACAAAATCGTACTTTCTGTGTGTTGTTTGTCAATGAGCCATCGCGTGACTCTACAGTCAGACATATGTAAGGGTTCTGCAGGGTCTGTATAAGGTTTTCATGACAGGCCCCTCATCTCTTCTGAGAAGTTATCATTCTTCTTGGTTCTTGTCAAGGCATCGATCTACGAAGAGCGGAGGCTTCAGTCAAGGCCGACGAAGACGCCACCTTACTAATTCATGACGGAAGGGGAGGGTCAGCTAAGCATGACCCCAATATAAAACCTAGGATACACTCATAAGAATGCCAATGCCCATAATGACAACCTGTCCTCACAGGGCGTCCCGGCTCGCCAAGGCAATACACCTTTTGTTCCTTAAGCGGTCGAATAAATCATGTTTGCGCACACCTCCCGAGAAGAAGCAGGCATTTCCTACGAGGGGTCTGCGTAGGGGCCTGTGACTACAGTTCAAGTTTCAGGACTCGTATGAGCTACAATCAGCGTGAGGGTTCGAGGATAGGATAGACATAAAGGTTCCTTCATGATTGCACATAACAAGTGTACATGCGTCTATTAAATGCATATATATATATATATAAATATATATGTGAGAGCCCTTTCGGGTCTATTTTGCGTGCCGCCTTGCCTTTAAGGAAAAGAATTAGTTTAAATAATTTAATTCATTTAATTAATTTAATTAATTTAATTAATTTAATTAATTTAATTAATTTAATTAATTTAATTCCTCAAGGGCCTGGCTTCAGCTCCAGATTTTCACCCTATTAAATTAATTTAATTAATTTAATTATTTTAATTAATTTAATTAATGTAATTAATTTAATTCTTCAAGGGCCTGGCTTCAGCTCCAAATTTTCACCCTATTAAATTAGTTTAATTAATTTAATTAATTCAATTAATTTAATTAATTAATTTTATTTATTTACATTAATTAAATTAATTTAATTAGTTTAATTAATTTAGTTAATTTAATTAATTAAATTAAATTAATTAAATTAATTAGATTAATTAAATTAATTAAATTAATTAAATTAATTAAATTAATTAAATTAATTAAATTAATTAGATTAATTAAATTAATTAAATTAATTAAATTAATTAAATTAATTAAATCCGAAAAACCACTTTTCGGATTTAATTTATTTTCACCCTATTAAATTAATTTAATTAATTTCATTAATTTAATTAATTTAATTAATTTAATTAATTTAATTAATTTAATTAACTTAATTAATTTAATTAATTTAGTTGATTTAACTAATTTAATTAATTTAATGAATTTAATTAATTTAATCAATTTAATTAATTTAATTAATTTAGTTAATTAAATTCATTAAATTAATTAAATCCGAAAAACCACTTTTCGGATTTAATTAATTTAATTCTTCAAGGGCCTGGCTCCAGCTCCAGATTTTCACCCTATTAAATTAATTTAATTAATTTAATTAATTTAATTAATTTAATTAATTTAATTAATTTAATTAATTTAATTAATTTAATTAATTTAATTAATTTAATTAATTTAATTAATTTAATTAATTTAATTAATTTAATTAATTTAATTAATTTAATTTAATTAATTAAATTAACTAAATTAATTAAATTAGTTAAATTAAATAAATTAATTTAATTAATTTAATTGATAAAATTAATTAATTAAACTAATTGAATTAATTAAATTAATTAAACTAATTTAATTAATTTAATTCATTTAATTAATTAAAGTAATTTAATTCTGGACAATTAAATTACTTAAATTAATTAAATCCGAAAAACCACTTTTCGGATTTAATTAATTTAACTAATTTCATTAATTTAATTAATTTAATTCTGGACAATTAAATTAATTAAATTAACTAAATTAATTAAATTAATCAAATTAATTAAATTAATTAAATTAATTAGATTAATTAAATTAATGAAATTAATTACATTAATTTAATAGGGCAGGAATCCTGGCGTAAAACCCTTCCCCTGGAAGAATGAATTTAATTAAATTAATTAAATCCGAAAAACCACTTTTCGGATTTAATTAATTTAATTAATTTAATTCTTCAAGGGCCTAATTCATTTAATTAATTTAATTAACTTAATTAATTTGATTAATTTAATTGTCCAAAATTAAATTAATTAAATTAATTAAATCCGAAAAGTGGTTTTTCTGATTTAATTAGTTTAATTAATTTAATTGTCCAGAATTAAATTAACTAAATTAATTAAATTAATTAAATTCATTAAATTTATTAAATTAATTAAATTAATTAAATTAATTAAATCAATTAAATTAATTTAAATAAATTAAATAAATTAATTTAAATTAATTAAATTAATTAAATTACTTAAATTATTTTAATTAATTAAATTAATTGAATTAATTAAATTAATTAAATTAATTAAACTAATTAAATTAATTAAACTAATTAAATTAATTAAATTAATTACATTAATTAAATTAATTAAATTAATTAAATTAACTAAATTAATTAAATTAATTAAATTAATTAAATTAATTAGATTAATTAAATTTGTTTCGCAGGGGACACAGGCTTAGGGACAACCCCAAAGGTTAAGGGTGAAGTGAGGTCAACCCTAACCCTTCAACCCTGCGGGCACTACACTTTTGCTTCGAAAGAAAAAAGGCCTCCAGGAAGTACGTGTCATCCTTGCGTAGGGGCTCATGTTCTCCGAACACTCCCCCCTTGACCTTTGGTCAAGCCATAGCTCATGGACTGCTAGCCTCCGCTCCTAAGGAGATTACTACTAGTTCAATCCTTGATTGGACTCAAGGCCTTATGAAGCTTTTCAGATTTGAGTCATATAAAAGTCCAACAACCTCCACAGGAAAAGAAGTGAGGAAGCGGTATTGACTCGGGATGATCCTTGCGACTATCTAAAAGGTCTCATACCCCATGGGATGCCTGATAGCCTGCTGGAAAATTGCGGAAAGAAAGACGTACAAAGTCTTCCATATCCTGGCCTTTCATCTTATTCTCTATCTACGGTTGTTCCTTGACCTAACCACGCTGACGCCGCCTCCGAATGGGCGGTGGTGGAGGGTTATGTTGAGGCAATGGCTGTGGAACTGCAGGGGGCTGAGTGAGGACTTGATCTGCCGTGCATCGACCACAAGGAAGAAAACGCTTTGCGATTCTGCTTCGAACATCCGCGCAATTCGGATCTTGATGCCATCTTTCCCCGGTTGCAGTAAAGAATGCTTCCAAGTTTCCAGGGATTCGTGCCAAGGTGGATGACGTATGTGCAGGCTGAGGACATTCAACAACACATGACTGGGGCTGCTCCTGGGACCCCGAAGGAAATGGTAGTGGGACTTGCTCACATGGAAGTGAGGGAGGCGAAATTGCAGAGCTCATAGCAGCACACACCCGACTGCATCGCCGTTCAATCACTCGAGCGAACCACTTCACACCCTCCCAACACAAAACCACTATCAAGATGCTACCACAAATCCACAACCATGGCAACTCCTGAAAGCCCTGCGCAACCCTTGGGCTTCGGACAGATACTTCAGCCTGACCCTTCAGTAGCAACGCCAAGCTCAGAACCAACACCGCTAAAGCCACGAGACCGCGCGAGCCTTGCAATCTGATTCCGTATCCCTTGCACCGACATTCCCAGCAGGGACATCATCGCAGCAAATTTCGTCGGGGCCATAGCCTTAGTAAGCACGTCTGCAGGCATCCATTCACCTCTCAAATGATACAGCTGCACCACACCCGATTTCAGGCGCTCTCTGAGGGCCGCAGACCTCAGTCTCAGATGACGAGTCCTCCAAGAAGTAGGTGGCCCGGAGGCAATGGCTATGGCTGCCGAGTTGTCGGAGTACAAAGTTTGGTCACACGGACGAAGATTGAGTTCATCAATGAGCACTGCTACGGCTTCAAGGATTTGAGAGCCACACACTATGCCGATAAGTTCGGCTTCTGCCGTGCTTAAGGCAGTAAGGGACTGCCGGGTACTTTCCCAGTAGACTGGAGCCGCAGCCCAAGAAATGACAATTCCTTGATGGGACCGGCCTGCCGCAGGTCCGAACGAAATATCGGTATAGCCGTGCAAGGAGGACTCCGTGATGGAACGTGGGAATTGCTCATAAACACCCCGATCGCCAGGCGCAGGACCATACAAGATGCCCACATCAACTGATCCCCGGAGGTACGACAGAACATTTCGCCCAATCAACAGTGAATCCTGCGGTCTCTTCGTACACAACTGCGCTGCCCTCGCCACAGGAAAATTAATGTCTGGTCTAGCCCTCACGGTGAGCCACAACAGCTCACCTGTGAGGCTCTGGGCTTCGCGGACGGCTTGCGTGCATGGATTTTCTTCTTTAGATGTTGCATCATCAAAGGCTTCCCTCCAGCCGACGCAGGGAGCATCAGCGGGATGCTGGACCTCAGAATGTCGTGTGAGAAGCTCCCGAACATATTTTCCTTGGGAAACAAACAATCCAGCTTCAGATGAAGAAAGGTCCAAACCGCAATATGACAACTCACCCCCTTCAGAATGCACGATAGGGCTACAGCTCCAAATGCTTGCGACATGTTCTAGCAGGCTGAGACGCTCCTCCAAAGAGGCAACTGCGAGCAAGTCATCAACATAGCACAACAGAGCTCCTATCGGCAGATCTTCTTCATCGAGGATAAGCCACACATTCGGATCCGAGATGCATTGCCGCAGGCGCCTGTGCTTTCCAGCTGTTTGCCACGCGGTACGGCGTAGGACTCGATCCCGTAGGCGCTGCCAAGCCCTCGGGCTTGTGGTTAAACCATATAACGCACCCTTAACCCACCACTTAGTTCTAGGTGGAACAACTCCGGCGGCAATCATCGCCCGGGGTGGCGTGC